ATGTATATACTTCTTCACTGGCATGACAGTGGATGACGCATACTCACCATGCTACAACTCCACTAATCCAATTTTCAATAGGTTCAACGTACTACTTCGAATCAAGTTACTTTCCATGTCACTATATCGATTGGGACGACAAAAGATTGGCATATCACAAGCCAACTCTATCCGTATACCTGGTCTAATCAAAGCACCTAATTCCTTGATGTACAAGACAAAAGAATTCCTATACGCACGTACTACCCTGTTATTAAATTTCAAACTGATTCGTATAATTCAAGTTTACAATTCTATTCCAAGTTAATCCATCATCAAGTTTCAGAAAGTGAAAAGATCAGATCTCATTGCTTGATTTCTAGCTCTCAACACCTTTTTTAACAAACTACGAGTGGACTTGGAAGTCCAAATTCTGAAATATTTCAACATGGGTATTCTTGTAGAGCAAAAAACTGCATAAAGAATTCCACCTCCAGAGTAGAAACCACCATGACAACTACTGCAAACTTTATTGGCCGAACACCTCTAGCAAAGCAGACGCCATTGCTTCTTCTACAATTTCACAGCGGACAAACTCCAGAAACAAACGACTCCAAGAAATCTTCTCCACAGATAATTTCACAACCACGAATAATTGTAAACTCGTCCAAGCTTTTGTTCGACAATTTCCGCCATTGTCTAACAAAACTCAAATGGGAGTTCTTGGAGTGAATAAAGACGTGTTAATCCCACTGGCTCAGTAGAGAACATCGCACAAAAGTTGAGTCGAATCCACTCATTAGTTAATCCTACTCGACGTTTACTAGCATTCACTACTTACAACGCTACAAGCTCAACTCAAAAAACTGAATATTTTTTGAGTCTCTTTGACTCTATACCCTCTTCGACGGCTAATCTCATGTCAACAGCTAAAAATAGTATATACAAAAAGACATGAAAATCTATTGTTTGAATTCAAGAGCAAAGATAGAAAAAGTTACTTTGAGTGACTTCTATGCTATGGTTCATGTGGCTATTACATGTATACTACCATTCCAGAACTTTGAGTTGCAAGCATTCTGTGTAGTGTCAGAGAATTCATCGTGCTTGCATTGTCATCGTGGAGATGGAGACACAAGTTTTTGGTTGTCAAGGTGCAGATATTACATAATTGTCATGTAGAGGTTCACTTCTGATTGTGGCAGTTATTGTTTCAGCTACAACATGAGAGTACGCCACATGACATGCGCATTGCTGTGTCGGCTGAGGTAATATCGAGCCGCACACATTGTCATTGATTGTTGTGCAAATACAAGCTCCTTGAATGTGCTTAGAAAATAATGCACTCTGTGATTTTAGCGTTTTTGGCAAAGGTTATGTTTCAAATTTTTTGAAATGGGTACCTGGCATTAGATAAAGTATGTGGGAAATATGTACAATTCAATGCAAGATAATTTAACTATCTAAACGAAGATACAACAATTCATGACTTAATTAAATTGACTGTGGTGATAAAAGATCACCATGAATCAATTTAATTAATTTTATCATCAAAACTCTTGCATATCAAGTTGGGGAGAAGTTTATTCAATAATTTTATTGAAGCGATAACATTATCGCTTCATTCTATACATAACATTATGTATAGAATGATGATAAAATATATCTATCGTAATAATTAAATTTTAAAAGAAAATTATGTATTCTTTTTAATTTTGAAATTCTATTTATTATTAATAATTATTTGATTTTATGAATGTAATTTTTTGAACGAATATTATAAATGTAACATCGAACTCATAATCTCACTAGTGATATAATTTAATATTATTTTTAAAATTATAATCTAATAAATTTATAATATAATGTTTATTTATAAAATATGATTTACAGGTCCAGTATACAAACTCAAATGAGTAGTATAATTTGATAACCAAGAGCGAGGGTTGATAGTTTCTTAGGCGCCAGGTTCAGGCTGGGACTCTGCATCATCTCCCCGGACCCTTCTCACTTCCGTGCAAGAGCCTAGATCGGAGACTCGAAACTTCAAATGGAAGTCCGTTCCACATTATCCCGCTGGCCCGATGGAGCAGCTCCGCTCCGAACTCTCTTCCTCCCACTTGGGTTACAGACGGCCTCTACACCGCCCAGACGTTGGAGCCGCTGCCAATTCAGGTCATAATCGCTTCGTCGCTGACCTTTGCTTCACTTATTGGCTCTCCTGATCTCACTGAGCTTGTGGCGCAGCGTCCTACGATGAACCAACACTGTTACTCAATAATTGTGCATTAATTTACTAGCTGGATGATGAGAATGAGGACTATCAGAAGCAGTAGGAGGCTTCGAGACTCTGTGCAATTAATTTATGAAGCCATGTATTGCTTCTTTTTTTGCTGGTGGTATGAGGGACAGTCAAAATTGCATTCTTGCCCATGATTTTGAGAAATGTCAATTTTGTTGCCGGCTGCTCAGCGTGGATGCGGGGGTATCTAAATTTCTATCGAAGAAAATAGAAGTGAAGCATTTCTCCGTATAAATCGTCCATTTTGCCGAGTGATGTTATAGTTTAATGTCTCGTGTAGCAAGCCTAGGTTTGCGGAGCCGGATGAATAAGACTGCAATGTACACAACGCTCAATCTAGAAGGCTAGATGAGACCAGATTCTGCTTTAAAAACTGATAACAGTGAGAATACATGTGACAAGGTTGTCCAAAGCTATGTAAATACTACTTGTCATCACGCGCTCGAACAAAAATGTGTGCAGCGTCCCATGAAATAGATTTGTAAGTAGAGTCTACCTTCAATACTGTACAGATAATTCGACAGGCCAACAAGAACCAGGTTAGTTAGCAGCATAATCATCTTGAGATCCCCGAGTAGCCATGTTTGACAGCTGTCATAAGTCGACAAAAACCATCCACAATGAGCAGAAGAGTTTTTTGACTTACAGGCATCAAAGATGAAACAAAGAGAATCTGATAGGAACTCCTTCTTATCCTCCGTGTTTGACAGCACTTTTTAGTCGATATAACCAAGCAAAATGAGCACGAAAGAACTTTGATTAGCAGGTATCGAAGATGACACAAAGATAATCTGATGAGAACAGCTCCAGTGCTTTACGTGACTAAAGGGTATCATGAAACGTATGAATGTTGATTTTTCTATGGAAAGTAATTAGAGTAACTTACGACGCAGAACTGTTTTCTTCGCACAAACCTCAAGCTGAGAGGAAGCTCATTGTATATACTGCCAAAGTACAATTGTACATTCTATAATTACTAACACCATACCAATGTTCTTATGTGTTTCAGATTACCTGTTTAGGTGGACATACGGATCTCAAACGAAGGCTTCAAACTACTAAATTCTGGCATTTATCTCCTCTGCAATCCCCACGTCTATCACCATCATAACTTCGAGATGCATTCGCTGAATTATTGACTGATGCGACTACTGATTCACTCGACTGTGCTGTCGCCAGCTTCATGAGCAAGGATGTCGGCGCATGAAATGACACCAGGCATACTTTCGAATCAAATTGAGTTTCTCCACGTAACATTATTGATTAAATTGGGAAGAGATGAAACTGCACGAGTCACTAAAAGAGCTGAGCTTCATCAAGGTTATGAACAGCGCTTGAATGGGTTGAAATATTTGCCTCCTCTGTATTGATTATAGAGCTTACTGTACCGGAACTGAGTATTTCCTGCACATCGCTCTCTAAGGAAGATATGGTGTCCAGCTAAATACGAACCTTATCGAACGAAGTCCTATATCAAACCAGTAGCACGCAGTATGAGCTCACACGAAGACCTTCAACGTGGTAGACTATGGACAGAAGATGGATTTACTATTCCAGGCCTGAGTTGAGCATAGCTTACACAGATGTATGTTGCAACACGCACGTTGTGTGTTGTGTGACAGACAGCTCAAGGCTGTGCACGCTAACATACACGCCTTTGACCAGACCTAAGTTCTAAGATGAAAGTTGGTAAAGAATTTTCTCACCGAATTGTGGATCCAGATTGGAAAGTGGTAAATTGTTTCTCTGCTACCGTAGAATCGGTTCACCTCCACTTGTTGTGTGACACGAGTTCTTGCTCCTATCTTCTTGGAAGATGGAAAGGAATCACACAAACGGGCTATCTTGGCAGGAAACTCAGATTGGTCATACCACAGGGAAACACTCTCAATTCAATCAGTTTTGCAAGTTTTGATAAGCACAAAAAACGTTGCAAATCATTTCCACAGAGCTGGAGGAGTTCGATGAAAGTTAGGCCTTTCGTCACCTGCTTGATGACCCAGACCCAAGGTTTTGTGGACTCATGTTCATATCTGAACCCAATGATTACGTCTGTAAAGCGAAAGGCTCATTTGGAGATTGTAATCTCTCTACCTGTATTCAATAATGCACGATCAAAGCTTTGGTATGTGGTTAAAATGATTCGAATGAATTATGAATTGGTCACGGCCCCGATCAACGAGATTCCAGAGTTTAAAAAGTAGCTCTGAAGTTCTCGAGGCTTGCAAAATGGACGCAATGTGACGTTAATGGACGTTAACTGGACAAAACGCCAAAAGCGATTTGAAGTTTGAAATGGACACCGGAAACTAGGTACGTTGCTCTCAGCCTGACCTTTGTGTTTGAATGGGATCTCAGTGATGGTGTGATGGGAAACTGCTTGTCGATCCGACGTGTAAGTAGGTGACAGATGATCGAATCGGTTGTCAAATCGAGCGGTTGCAAGCCATTGCATGCGTGCATGCAGTAGATCGAGTCTCCTTCCGTCCTTCTTCTGGTGTCAGATCTCGCCGGCTGGCTGAGAAGCACTTCGTGGAGATTAAGACTTGGGTATCTCACAACGAGTGGAAGAGGGAGTCTTCTCATCTCGAGACTCGAAAGGCATCGACCCGTTATGACAGTTCTTACATTCTTCTGTCAACGGGAAATTCTGTCAAAGAATGTGTGGAGAAGACAGAACTGGAGACTTGACTGCAGGTTTGATCGTCAGCGGTCACCGAGAATAAAACTTTCACCGGAGAGTTGTTGACTTGCATCCATGGAGCGCTTCTCTTCGAAGCTCGTCCACGCCCTGTGTGTGTCCGTAGCCATTTCGGCCAGGCGAGTAAGTGAGTTGAGAGAAGATCCTAGATTCTAGCTCTGAAGAAAACTTTGGGTGCGATCTTCGTCTCCGGTTCGTACCGATTGGCGTTTCGACCCTCGATTCACGAAGGTCGGAACCTTCATCATGGGTGCACGAATGTCTTGTTTTCAAGGGGAGAATGGCAGTAGCAAGGACTACCTCAAATTGGGCACCGTCGTCCCCAACGACGACCACGTGAGGAAGGCTGTACAATCACAAGCGGTTGTTATGTACGATTTGGAATCGTCGAGATTGGTGGAAGATCACGCAGCAGTCAGAAGAGCCCTGTCGTACGTGCCGGGCTGGGTGGAACAAACTCCGCTCGACGGGTTTCTCGAGTACTGGTTCTTCTTCAGTAACGACGACCAAAGGAAATACCCTGCAGCCAAAGCTCGACTTCCATGGCCGATCTTTCACGCCACATCTGCCGAGACGCTCCAAGCGTTCGTGCATGTGGTCAATCGGGTGGCGCATCGTACAATCCTCACAACAATGTCAGTTGCATCATTCCTGACCTGCCTTAGATTCTAGATACTTCTTGATGTTTCCCTCTCAGTGACTTGAACGGTCATGCTTGCTTTGCCCTTCGGGAAAAATTTGACCATCGCTACCCACAACAAGCAAAATCCGCAGCTTTAATGAAACCGCAGGCCTCCATGACAATCACCAAACTGTTTTGTGCAGGACACCCGCAGAGATTCACGGCATCAGGCGAAAGAAGCAAAGATTATTCAGAAAATCGAAGAGGTGAGATGGAGTGGAGTGCCTTCCACCATCTTATAAGCTTCTGAATTCCAAGTCGAAATTCACGAAGTCGAGCAACAAATTGAAATCTGAGAAAGCTACGGTCGTCCACATCAACGTGTGTGGTAATTAAGACGAGAGAATTTGGCTCATACTGCAAGTGGCTACGTGATCGAGATAACTACACACCTCAACAAACCGCAAGGGAATGAGCTGCAGGAGCTGAGAAGCGTGGTCATGAGCTAAACAGCTGCAATCGGCAGAACTGCCCGGCTCCCAGCTTCCATGCTCTGGCTCAACTGGCTCAAATACCGTGGCTATTACATGTATCCTACCATTCCAGAACTTCCAGCTCCAAGCTGTCTGTACAGTCTCAGAGAATTCATCGTGCCTGCATTTTCATTCTGGTGATGGAGACACAAGTCTTTGGTTGTCAAGGTGCATATATTACATAATTGTCGTGTAGAGCTACACTGCTATTTGTGGCGGTTATTGTTTGAGCTGCAGCATGAGAGTTAGCGCCACATGATATGCGCATTGCTGTGCGGCTGCGGGCATGTCGAGCCGCACGCATTGTCATTGATTGTTGTGCAAATCCAAGCTCCTTGAATTTGCTTAGAAAATAATGCACCGCTGTAATTTTAGCGTTTTTGGCCAAGGCCATGAAAGCATGTTCCAAAATATTCGGAATGGGTACATGGCACTAGATAGAGTAGGTGGGAAATTATGTACAACTCAATGCAAGATAGCTTAACTATCTAAAAGAAGATACTACAATTCACAAATTAATTGAATGGACTCTTGGTGATAAACGATCACCACCGATCTGCATGTCTTGGGAGAAGTTTTTTCATGAGATTTGTTGAAATGATTAATGTTATATGTATAGAATGTTGATAAAGTATATGATATATTTTAATTCAATTGTTTCAAATAATTCAATTGTTACAAGGGATATAGTGTTTATCCATCGTAGCAATTGAAAACTAAAAGAAAATCATATTTTGTTTCATCAATATTGAATTTCTATTTCTTTCTTTGTTATTTGAAGTATAAGTATTGTAATAACCCACTAAAGTCTAAAACTGCAATATAGTAACAAAATGTCAAATTCACAGTGACAAAGACAATACACAGAGTACCAAATGTCATGTTTTAACAAATTATTGAGGAGTTTGAATTCTCAGGTTATTATCACTCCCAGAAATATTACAATTGCTCAACTCGGAGGTCGCATAGTGCAACGTGGTTCACCCCAACACACACTTGAAACTGGAAAAGCACAAGTCAAAGGTCGGCTAGCACCTCTTGTTAAAATTCAGGGGAAAGTTTCCCAAGAGTACACTCAGATGATCTGCAGGTAGTGACCCCAACTCCGAATTTACAACCCTTCCACTAGTTACTGCTAATGTAGGGCATCAGGGTTGGACTTCCTATTCAGATGCGGTACCTTCGTCAACCAAAGTCACTCTCAAGCGGTGAATAACACACTCAACTCACAAAACACGCAGAGACTACAGAAATCCGAACTAAGAGACAATGCTGAGAAAAGATCTAGTGTCAGAACTTAACAGTCTATTGACGAGTTTGAATTCTTAGCACTAATCATTCCCAGAAATACTGCGGATGCTACCCCCGAAGGCACCTCAAGCAGCGTAACATACACAACCTGAATTTACAACCAAGGCTTACTCCGAAGTAACAAAACTTCACTTTGGCATTTAGGGGGAAAAATCCCGAAAGAGTACAAAAAGGGAAAATCGTCCGAAGGTGTAAGTCCGAATTTCAGATCCTAACTAGACTATCTACTAGCTCAGAACATTCGGCCGAAGGCCTTCAGTTGTAGGCTGCGGTAACTTTGACAATTCTACAACTACTCTTGCGCGGTGACAGAACAAAGTACACAAAAGCGCAGAGAAAACGACTTCCTGAACTAAACTTCCGAAACTGGAAAATCCCCCAAGGCCAAAGCCTTGAACTACTTTATACAATCTAAAATCCTAAATAACTAACTAACTAACATTCTACTTCACGCTACGCTACACGTCATCTGCTATGCCTCTTGTGCGAAGGCCGACTGCGCACTAACTCCCTACCCGACCAGTCTTCGGCTCTATTGCGCAATCCCAGCCGCCGCAACACCGCGGTCACCTCTGCCTCGAGGTTCGCAATGGCGTCTCGCGACCTCGCCAGAAAGGCATCCAACCGCTTTGCAACTCGCCGCCGACTCCGACTGTCACCCGACATGAAGGCGAAATCTCCACTTCACGCAGGGTGACTTTCTCCCGCGCTGCAATCTCCCAGCGAGTATAACCTCTCAGACACCGGTTCACTCGCGCTACTAATTCCTCTCGCGTGCGATCTGTAGTGCGTCGGTTGTCGTTTTCAAACTCCACTAACTGCAGCTCCGCTTCCTAACGCTGCGCTCTCAATTCGTCGCACTGCGATTGCAGGCGACACAGTAACTCCTCTTCCGCCTTGCGTGCGATCTGACATTGCTCTAGCAACCGTGTCTGCCGCACGAGCTCTTCTGCTAGGATGCCATTCTAAACTCGCTCAGAATGGAGCTCCGTCTCGATCTTTGCGCGCTGCTTCTCAAATTTGTGCTGGGCCTCGGCCGCTACGTCATCGCGCAGCTCAAGTATTGTCTTGTGGAGTCTCCGCAAGAGTGTAACATGTCCCTGCAGGACATTGTTCTTCTCCTCCAACTCTCGGTACTTGTGGTCCAGGGAAATCAACTCGGGATTCGTCGCTACCTGGATCCGCGTTCGATTCCTGACCAATTCGACGTAGGATCCCCGATGGCGAGGATCCGCATACTTTGCTGCCTTGCGATCAAGGTACCGCAGTAGCGGTACCACCTGCTCGCAAAGCACTCCCGTTGGCGTGCCTTGCACCGACTCCACTTTCTCCTCCTTTGAATATGAATCGTACTCTGAGTCGAGGATCTCTTTCGCCACAGAAATCCTCGGCGATTCCCTGGAACTAGGTCACGCAGCTTCTTCTGCCGCGACCGCCGCTACACTCCCTGCCAACATCTTCAACGGGGTGGAAAATCTGGCTTCCGGCGGGCCCGCTTCACCTGCCTGATCTGCTATTGCCGAAGGCGTCTACCACCAAAGGCGCTTGTGCCAAAGGCGTCTGTGCCAAAGGCACGCGTGTCTCCTCCTTCCGGCCTTCGTTCTCCGCTGAAGTCCTCTGAGCCGAAGGCTCTTTTGCCGAAGGCTTCTCCCTATACTTCTCCTGAGCCGAAGCCTCTTGACCCGAAGTCGAGTCGTCAAAAGGTACTTGCTCAAAGGCCAAGCACCTATCCGTCGCTGGCACACTGATCGCTGCCGCATGCCGTCTTCCTTGGCCCAAAGGCCTTCTTGACTCCTCCAAAGGCGTCCGTGCCTTCGTAGCAAGGAGGTCCGCTGTCCTCCCAAGAACTCTCGCACTCGCATCATACCCCGAGGATGGCGAGTTTCTTCTCTCCGCGGCTCGTACGGTGTCCGCGCTACTTGCCGGCAGAACAAGCTTGCGAGCTTTCTGCTTCGGCCGACTGGAGGGCTTGTGAGTCGGCCGACTTCGGGCGGGGGCAGCGGGCGCTCCTCGCTGACTCTAATCCGCCTCTCTGGGGCACTCGTACTGCCCGCGGTTCTTCCTCTGCTCGCAGTCGAGCTGATGGTGGGCAAGCGGGCGTCTCGTTTGTGTCGGTGTCGACCTCGACATCCTTCATGTATCTACCCAGATTGTTGAGTGACAGCAAGGGAAACTGCACTCGCTCCGACGTTGTCAAGCACCCCATCGACCGATAGAAATTAATCAAGAAGCGGGAGAGGTGATTGATCGATCCCCCTTTTACTCCTGCGCGTGCTGTCGCGTTGCCCTCCACAGAATCCAAGCCCAATGGATCGGAGTTCCCGTCAACGCATGCTCCACAAACCCCACCTACCAAGAAGTCATGTAGGTGGTCCGGTGCGGCTGCAAAATCTGGAGGAGTGCTACCGCGACATTCCTCCGCATGCAATCCTTGTAGTCACGGCTCTTGTACCCGTTCTTGTAAAGGGCACCAAAGGAAATTTCTTCTTCCTTCGTGACCTACACACTCTCGCATTCGAAGAGAAGGTCGCCTTCTTCTCCCGCGCATCTTCCCAAGACTTGTTGCCAATCACTTACCTGCCACCTCTCCGGATGCGGTCGGAAACCGCGCGGGGGTTGGTTTCTCTCCCGCAGCCACTCGCAGACCATCTCTGAACACACTCAATTCCATCCTCATAGGAGGAAATCAAGCTTCACCGCCGAAAGCTCGTTCTGAAATGCGCGCAGTCCAATCTGCGGCACTTTCAGCGGAACCATCCGCAGCTGAGTGGACCGGGCCATCTTCTTGCAAGTTCCGGCGCGCTCAATTTCTCCACTGACACGAGCTTCTTGCAACTTCTCTTCACTCGCTACTGCGCGTCGGGAGCTCAGGTGAACTTGCTGCACTTTCTCTCTACTCTTCTCGCGCACTCAGTCAATCTTTCCGCTAGCTCTCCGCTAACTCTCTTTGTGCGAGCTTGTGGTACCCCACTTTTGGTAATTTTGAGGAAATTAAAACATTTTTGGAAAAAACTGTACCCTGGCAGCATTGTAAATAGCCTTCGGTACATCAAAACAGAGTGAATCCGGAAGATCGCGGGGATTCTCGAGGGATCTTGTAGAATCTAGGATTTGGGGTGCAGCAGTAAGGATGGGCACCACCCTCCCTGCGAGCTCTGCAGTTAGGATCCCTGCGACGCAAGGCGCAAAACCCGCCTTCGGAGGTTGCGTCCGTTGCGGTAGGGAAATCCTTCATAATTAGGTCAACCCTCGGGCGCCTTGACCGAGTTAGGGTCTCGTTGAAAAGAGCTCGACGCACTGATTCCAACGAGTCCAAGAACGCTTGGAACGGATGAGGACTTAGGGAGTTAGTGCGCGTCAGTCCGCCGCGCAGGAGACGTAGCACAGGTTCCGCGGAGTGTAGTGTAGCGTGGTTCCGCGCAGGCGTGTAGCGTAGTGCAGTGTAGTGCTAGTTAGGACTTAGAAGGTATAAAATAGTTCCAGGCGTTTTGCCTGGGGTTCTTTCCCATCAGAAGTATAGATCAGGAACCCATTTCCTTTGCGTGTTTGTGTCCTTGAGTTCTGTCAGCACGCACGAGGAGTTACAACTTAGCGTTCCGCATTTTGTAGCTGAAGGCCTTCGGCCGAATGTTCAGAGCTAGTCCATTGGTTAGAGACTTGAGTAGTTCGGATCTGCACCTGCGGGTGACTGCCGATGCTAAGAGCCAGTGACTAGTTAGATACTTGAACAGTTTCGCCCCTACACCTTCGAGTGTTTCTTTCTGATTGTACTGCTTGGGATTTTTCCCCTGAATGCCAAAGTGAAGTTTTGCTACTTCGTGTAAGCCTTGGTTGTAAATTCAGGTTACGCTGCAGCAGGTGCCTTGAGGGTAACCCCTGTAGTATTTCTGGGAATGACAAGTGCCTGAGAATTCAAACTCTTCAATAGACTGTTGTTGTGTTACTGGAATGTTTCTCAGTGAGTCCTTCAATGCGGACCTGTGTTCTCTGCGCGTTTTGTGAGTTGAGAGTGTTGTTCACCGCGTATGAGTGACTTCGATCCGAAGTAGGCAGTCCAAACCGGGTTTCCTACACTAGCAGCAAGCTAGTGGAAGTGTTGTAAAAGCCGGAGTTGGAAGTCACTACCCGCAGCTTCGCCGAGTGTGCTCGCGAGAGACTTTCCCCCCCTGAAATCTTGAG